CAGACTGACATTGGTAAGAAAGACAGAGCCAATACCTTTTGAATTTATGTATTTAAATCCACGCATACATGCTTTGTAGCTCAGGCTGATAAACTTCACAAACTTAACATATGCTAAAATGAAGAAGTCTAAAAGATATGAAAAATAGAATTATGTGTTGAAATTCAAGGGCTCTTCAGATCAATCATGAGGCGCTAAGAGGGAAGGTTAGTTATAGGTTTGAACAGTCTATAGGATGTGGTAAGGCATTTTATGTTTTCGGAAGGAAATGTGGATAACAGCATATCTGGTTTCTGAGAGAGTTTGAGATTTTCCAGGAGTGGAATTGCGTAAGCGAAATTAAAGCTGAGAGGTGGACAGCTATACTGGCGACCACAGTAAATGCTATTTTGAAGCGCCAGCCAATGTCATAGAGTTTATAGCATCATTTGTCAGAAATAATAATAAGGAAACGGTTTACATCCTAATTGCTATGGGAAACTCCCGGTATTCTTCAGATTTCATCTCATTCCAGTTTCTCAACCTGGATCTGATTCAAGACCTTTGAAGTTCCTGTGTCTGGATTTCAAAAGAAATGAGCCGGGACCTGGGACAGATAGCAAGATCTAAAGCCAGTCTTCTGAAGCACTGAGCTCCTAGGAATCCATGTGAAAGCTTCTGCAGAGCCAGCCCCCGCCCCAGTCATCTCCCCCTGCTCATGCTTTTAATGGGAGTTTAGGAGTCAAAGTTTTGGGCCCCCAGCTTATTTCTGCCCTCATGTTGTTGCCTGTTGATTTACTCAGACCAGGTCAGATCCCATCTCAGATGAGTCAACAGCCCACTTAAAACTTCCTTTGCAGGTTAGACAAAACTGAGCTTGGAGTCTCCAGGCTAGAAGAAAGGACAGAGCTGGGACATCGGTCAAAGGCAGAGCCCAGGGGAGCAGAGTCAGGTGTTCCAGCCACTGCCAGGGCATGGACCAAAAACTGCTGGTTTTGCTCCCACTGCCTCCTCAGTCCCAGTTTCTCTCTCAGCAGCAGCAACAGCCAGCCTGCTTCCAGGCTTGGGAGGGTGGAAAGTAAGCGATAGGGCCATGACTAATTTTGCTAGGCCAAGCACTTGGCTGACCTGGGAAATTCCTTGTTTTGTTTATGCTTGACCTGGTTCTCTTCAGACCCAAGACGTCGATGGAGTACAGAACTTGGCCTTTACTGCCCTAGTTTCTCAGCTGTGGATAAGTGTTATCTGATGTAAGTTTCCAGAGGTCCTGTGCCAAAGCAGTCCAGCTAAGACCAAGTTGTTCCTAAACATCTCATGCCAAACACCAAAAATCACTATTTACAAATACTGAAATCTGTTTTGGTCCATAGCAAAGACTTTTTTTTTCTTTTTTGGTTTTCCAGGGTATTTCAATAAGGGTCCTAGAAATATCTCCCACATTTCTGTTTTTAACTGCTATACAAGCCAGCTTGCTGTGTACTTCAAAAGCTTTCTCAAGAAGACAGAACAAGACAGCCATTGCACAAGGACTGTGTTCACTAGAAAGAATCCCCTTTTTGAGAAGAGACCTGAGCATTGCCTAGAAAAGGAAACTGGGAGAGGAGTGCCAGCTTTTCATTTTCTCTTATTCTTTTTTTCCCTTTTTCTGGAGCGCATATTTAGAAAATTTCTTTGCATAATTTTTTACAGACTTCAACTTTCATTTGCTTGCAGCAGCGATGGAAAAGCAGCGGATAGATGGAGGAGATTGCAGGGCGCCTGATTTGCGTCATGCAGAACCACCAGAGGTCAGACTTAAACTCCTAGTCGTTTCTAATGCTGAACAGTTTAATTCAGACTGACTTCTGTCATCACAACAGAGAGTGCAAAAGGCTTGCAGGACATTTACTGCATTCCTTCTGTTCCTGGGAGACTGCATCCTTCCAGAGTATTTTCTAGCTCTTTGTGCTATACACAAAGGCCTCTGGTTTTGCTTCATGCTTTTTGGGAGCTGGTGAGACTGTCACAACCGGTTTGAAGACTTTCCTGATAATCAGCCTGGAATTACCCTTTCTTTTCATCCCATCACTCATATCATACTTCTCTTGTCACATCTCAGGTATGAGCGTAACAAAGAGTGTGTTTTTGAAGGGGAAGAATTTGACTTGCACAGATTAACTTGCACAAGTTACATGTGGCTTGTACAAGAAATGGCCAGTTTTCACAACACTAATGACCCTTTTTTGAACAGGTGATTTTCAGGGTGAGCATGCAGAGGGGTCGGATGCTTGCTCCTGGAGCAACTGTGAATGCCTGGATGATGAAGTGAGTAATGCAACCTCCAACAGCACAAGAAATAAAGGGTTATAAGTTCTGAGCCTCTCCAAACAACCACACTTCCTCCTCAGCTTTCTCTTCGCCATTAAATCACAGAATGACAGAATGGTAGGGGTTGGAAGGGACTAATGGAGACCATCTAGTCCAACCCCCCTGCTACAGCAGGATCACCTAGCGCAAGTTGCACAGGATCATGTCCAGGTGGGTTTTGAATATCTCCAGAGAAGGAGACTCCACAGCCTCTCTGGGCAGCCTGTTCCAGTGCTCTGTCACCCTCAGAGTGAAGAAGTTTTTCCTCGTATTGAGACAGAACTTCCTGTGTTCCAGTTTGTGCCTGTTGTCTTGTCACTGGGCACCACTGAGGAGAGTCTGGCCCCATCCTCTTGACACCCGCCCTTTAGATATTTATAAGTATTGACTAGATCCCCTCTAAGTCTTCTCCAGGCTAAACAGACCCAGTATTGCTGCTGCATAGCACCAGGGACCATCTCCCTTGTAGCCCACAGACTGGATCTACGCTACAGGACAATTTGTGCCTTGAACTGGGTTAGGTGAGGTGGGACAGTGTAGGAAGTCTTACAGCTACTAAATACCTTTTCATTCCTTGCACTTCTAGGTGCTTTGGCCCGTTAGACACTCCCATGTTCATATGGAAGGAGGAAGATGCCACAACAGGAGTCTGGCCTGCGGTGGTAGAAAAAGCTGGCCAACGTACCGTGTGAGCTCAGCACCTCTGTCTTGTGGGATCACCACTGTGTTCTACCAAAGCCGAAGATGCTGAGCAGATGGAGGTGAGGGGGTGAAACTTGCACAGCGTGGGTCAAAACCCATTTTCAGGAGAATGGTGGACAAAGGGGCACAACAGATGTAGCATAGAAAACAAAACTTACAGCAACAAAAGTCAGAGGCTTGTCCATTGTCAGGGTTAAAGTTTGAGCAGCAAAATGTTGCCTGTGGCTGTTCTGTGGTTGTAGGCTGGGGATCGTGTGCTCTGAGTCCATAGATGTAAGATGGATGGAGGAAAACTGGCAGCTGGACAGACTTTCTTCTGCCATATTAGGTCAGCATGCTTCATCCTTGACTACAGGGGATGTCTGAGGAGTAACAGGGTAGTTAACACCCCCCAGCTTGCTCAGTCTTTAATTGCCCAGCTGACTGACAGTCAAAACAACCAGTGCCATTGAAAGCTGCTTGTAACCGTCCTGGAAGAGCTCAGCTCTGGTACGAATTGAAATTGGTCTATAGGATCATATCACATAGACTGCAAAATGTATTTGATGACCTGCAGTGGATGTGAGCCAGTAATTTGGAGGTAATTTACTCAATACTCCTTTTACCAACCATGGATCTTGGGCATGGTGATTTAAAGTAGTAGTGAGAACTGTGCCAATATACTGTTTGGCTCCTCCTGTGTCTTGGTGTCAAGTAAGAGGCAGTAGGACTGGTAATGACTAAATCCTGACTTTCTCAGTATCACGCTTGCAAAGAATCATAATATCTAACCTTTAAATGCTCCCTATACAAGCTAGACCACAGAAACCAGCTGGAGTCCCAGCTAGTTTCATGTTGTCACCAGACCACCTCATTAGCCTTGTGACTTGTTAAACACAATTCTGTCAAACTTTGTTCTCCAGCCTGCCATTATTCAGATACTAACTAAACAAACTCCCACTAGCTCCCTTGGGGATCATTACATCTCTCTGCATTTATGCTGTGGCAGCAAAAGTTTAAGCTTGGATTGTAATCATAAAGAAATTAACTTGCTGATTAAAAAATGGTCCTTTAAGCAACATGCATTTGAATAATCCATCATAAAAACAAATGAGTCTGTAGCAGTGCTTTTGACTTGATAATCTTTTTTGTGCTTAAAATTTAAATCAGTTGCATTTTTTTTCTCTCATTCTGTAGCCTATAGAAAAATACAATGAATTACTAAAAAGAAGCAATAGTTCGAACTGCAATAGCCATGGTGTAGAATATATATTTTAGATTTGTCACTGCAGGATAGATTTGTACATCATGGACCTAATTTTTGGCTGAGGTACCCTCCAGGCAATTCCATTGACGTTAGTTGTGTTACACAAAAAGTAAGTTAATGCAGAATATTTGAGTTCAGATATTTGCAAAGTGTTTTGAAGATAAAAGAACTGCACATGCCAGAGCTGATCTAGTGCTCATTGAAATCTGTAGTGAAGGTCCTATTTAATTCAACAGGAGCTGCTGGATCAGGTCTGATGAATGCAGCAGAGCTGTGTTTACAGGAAAGCATTTGGAAATAATGACAGTTCAGTCATGTTAAATATTGCATATCTCTCCATACCTATAGGTGCAAAGCGAACCATTAACAGTTCACAACAGGTGCTTACTTTTAGACGAAGTCACTCAATTTATGGCTGCTAGCTGTACTGGTTGTGTGATGAATACAAGAAGTGAAGATTTATGTGGCTGGAGAAGGATGCAAAAGGACAACTCTAACTCACATGAGGCTATGTGACACTGTTCCTGAAACTAAACAAAAGCAAATTCAAATCTCCTTGCTTCATCACTTCCCCCCATCACAGTTCCACTTTTCTAGATGTTTGTACAATCCACAGTAATTCACATCTTTCATCCCCAGCCCATGCCACAAGCCCTCCACGTCCCTATTTTAAAAAGTCAGCCTTTATCAGTACTGGTCTCAACATTAGCAAACTGATATTCCTCACCTTTTGGTCCAGGTAAAATTGTGTGTGTCGAGCAGACATCTGTCGTAGGTCGATTGTCAACATCAAAACCGAAAATCTGAGCTTGGAAGATAAAAAGCACTACTAGGGTCCCATATTTCCTTAGCTGTTGTTCTTTCTTGCTGCTCATCCTTGCAGCTTCTCAGGAAATGCCTTTCGTTGTTACAGTCTTAACAAATGCAGCTGATTCAAAAATAAATGCTCCACTAACTGAAGCAGTGCAAAGTTGGGAGCTACATGCAAGAACAGCTAAATAAAGTGAAGAAAGGAGTTCGACAATGCTGTAGTTATTTCTGTTCTGCACATTATCCAGGATATTTATTTAACACTGACAGCTGTTTATTCCAATTTATCTCTTATCTGTGAGATGTTTAGCTGCTTTTGCCATGGAAAATTTCTTCAATACATGGGGATATCTGTTTTGTCATATTTTTTTCCTTTCGGCACTGACTCTTCATGCCCAGCTTTTCACTTACTCAAGAGACAAAAGACTTTGGTATTGTATCCAAGTGTTATAGGATACTTGTGGCTGTTTTTGTGCTGGAAGAGTAATGCAGGCTCCATAAAACATATGGAGAGACTTTTCCACAAAAGCTTTCCTCCAAGGAGACCGTTAGTGACAAGAGACGAGCTGCCAGTCTGCTGTGGGTGGAAGCCTCTGGTGCTATTTCACACCTTTTGGGTGCCGTGCACCCGTAGCTCCCAGAGCAGGGAATGAAAAGTTGATGTCATCAATGGGTGTTTGAGCCATAAACCCAGAAATGATGGGTTTATGCTTACAGATTGCTCCACAATAGTTGCTCCAAGTCCAGATTGTGTTGGTAGACGTGCTACAGAAGGGCAGATTTCAGGATGAGCTCAAATGACTGCAATACCTCCTCTTATACCACCTTTCTCCTCTCCTTGCTAACTGGAAGAGACCATACATCAGGACAGTGGTATAGCATAGGTCCCAGTGCAATATCATCTCTGGGTCATCCAGGAAGCTGCTGCTGGTTCAAATCTGCATGAGGTAGCTGTCAGGTTTTCTGCTGGGTGCTGGGACTTTGCGACGAGGTGTAGGAGGCCTCCTGGGTGGAGGAACAGGTAGTGTGCAAAACCGCTGTATATCCTTTTGGAAGGAGCTGTGACAGATATCCATCCATGTGCAATCCCTTCCTAGAAAAAACTCTAGCTTTCTCCTAGGGAGAGCACAGTAACCAGAGACAGCAGACTATTCGAGGTAGCCTGTCAGCAAAGAAAGAGGAGATGAGTATTCACAGTCTTTCCAGGAATTTCGTTAACTTCTGGTTTCTTACACAACAGAGGAGACAGTTACTCAGAAAGCTGAACTATGCTTTTGAACTGCCTAGTGTGTGAGAGCACATGTTTGCTTTCTTTCCATTCTAGGCAAAAAAAAAGCATTTCCTATGATAATAGCTTTGAGATGCTTTCCTCATTATTTAAGAGAGTATCAGTTCCTTAGTCCTACAATGTTTCAGCCTTTTGGTAGACAGAAAAAGTAGCAGCACTGATGTAAAAGTGAATACCTTTTCTTAAAGGCTGAAAGAAGGCTTTGATTTCAAGCTTTCATCTGGGATGAAATGTTGGCCAGAGTCCCAAGAGGGGTCAAGGCACTCCTCTCCCTCTTTCTTTCTAGCCTGGTCTCAGACTGTCCCACTTTTCAAAACACTTTTCTTTTTTGTTAAACTGTGTACAGTAATTTTCAGAAATAAATAGTGGTCTCTGTCCTAAAGAATGTCATCTAACTAACACCCTCAAATGTGGCCTTAATAACGGATACACCACAGCTAGAGGAGGTGGGGGGGAAAGAGAAAGCCGGGATTATAGGCGGATAGAGTCGTACCAGGAATAAACTCGTTCCTCTGTGATTTGCGTTGGGCACTGTGCCTCTGACTTGTACACTGTAAATCTGTTTTATTTATCTTTTTCTTTTCTTCACTTTCCATTTTGTGAGCAGAAGGTCAATGTAAGAGCAAGAATAGAGAGCGTAGGAGTGGGAAGCTAGTGTACTTAGCTTTGGAGGAGGCATTTTGGGAAATGTTTCCAAACTGACGTGAATGATGCTATCTGTTCCACAGTACTGAGAGACTTACAGTGACTTCTTTGTCGTTTATCAAGGATAAAGAGGGGTAAGTGTAAGTGAGAGAGGAAACCATTTGTTTAACCAGTTCATTCACCGACCAGGACTAAGCAGGGAACGTTTTTTGGCCACTAAAATTCCTGTGATCATTTTCAAATGTTCTCATTCCATGTTAGAAAAGGAATCAAGACCCGACCATTTTTTTTTTCCGCTCCATGAAAGTAACAAAATCCCTAAACACACAGTGAGAAATGAAGCTTAATATATCCAAGAGCTTGGTAACAAACGAACTTATTTAAAATGTAGGAGACCCAGATTCAAATTCTTTCTCTGCCTAATTCAAACCAGTGTTTGCACCGGAGCCTTAAGGTTATAGTGCCTTATTACAAGGCTGTTTGCTAATCAGTTATGTCTTCTTGTATGTTGGACCAGAAATCCTGTCCTGGAGCTAGGAAACCTGCCTTAACAGGCAATCCATCAAAACTGATATACTAGCACAAAAACCTTGCCTTTTGGCAAACTAGTATTTATCAAACCAGTTGCATTGAAAAATCTTCAAGCAGCTTCATTGGTGATGGAGATTTAATGAGGCACATTGCCTATTGTGTATGTTAATTCTTATTGAATCAGACTTAGAGAAATGTCTGTAGGGAAGAGAGAAAAGCAAGCTAAGCAGTGTTCTCCAGACACAAAAGACATAAAGCAAACATTTACTAGGGCTTTACAAGGAAACCCTGAGAAGACACAGAAGAAAGTCCTGAAAGATTCTGTTGCTTTGAGTTGAGCAGCAGTCAGGTAACCTTTGTGTAGTGCATTGCCTCCTTGGAGTCCAAGTACTTCTTTGGAAATGTGTATTACCTTCACTTGCTTACTCTTCAGACGTTAGTAATTAAATACCAATAGACTATAAGGAGTACAGACAACATCCTGAAATGGCGTTGTCATCCCAAGAGTGGGATTGTTTACCCGGTGTGCAGTACACCAGTATACACACAGAGCAGAAGCATTTTATTTATTTCATGTCTGCACAGAGATGGGTGCTAGGTGGTAATTCCACAAAGCTAGCACACTACACACAGAATCTACAACATATTTATCTTGTTACAGATTAGAAAAACCTGCCTAAATTTATGCTAATTTGTTATTAATAACCTTACCATCTCCTGTTGGTTAAGCATATTAAAATCAGCACGCATGCTCCTTGAGGGTGTCGGGGGTAATTTGTGTTGTCCTTTAATTGGGTGGGTGGTTGAAAACTCTCCCAGCCACCTTTCCCTTTCCCCAATTAGTGCCGATTTTTGTTGACTTCAGGCCTCTCTGGCAATCACCCAGCTCTCGGCGCCTTCTGGGGCAGGATGTTTCCTTTTTATCAGTTTTTCAGCTCTCCTTCAAGGGTAATCTTTAGCAAAGCATGCTTTTTATCAGTCGTTCTGCTCTTCTTCAAAGGTATAGTCATTAGCAAAGCAAGGTAGTGCATTTAACCCTAAATTAAACAGTGTCTAAGCACTAACCCAAACAGATTTCTGTCCCTGTAAAGTGGAAAATTCTACTTTATGGATATCAGCATTCGACAAAAGGTGCCCAGATCTACAGCCAGTTTTAATAATTTGTTAAGTCCCAGATCCTGTGGTTGGACTCCAGGATAATCCTGCCTATTACCATGGGTTGATTCAGCCACAAGTGCTGAGAGTCCTCTGACATCATTTCTAACCCAAATTCAGTATTAAGAACTTTCCTTTTCTGTATCTTACTATACTGAATAAACCTGGGGGCATCTGAAGTAAAAGAAAAAAAAAAAAAAAAGTGCAATATTTCTGTGCTTTGGGATCCTACATGGTTTCAGTTCTCCTGGTATCAGAGGTCATGATGATTTGGAGTGTCGTACTGGATACGTCAGGATACGTCAATCATGATGGCAAAGCTTAGAGGGACTGGAAGAGGAAAAGCAGTAACATGCGGTTTGCCAAATGTAGGGAGGAAAGTAATCCTAGGGCTATTTTGTAAAACGTCATTTTTGGTTTTGACACCACGCAATGACTACTCGAGCCTGTAAACACAGTCTCCACCAGTTGTTTTTCTGAGTAAGACATAAACAATGACTAGACCTTGATATGCCTGCAAATAACTGACAAAAAGAGCTAAACTGAGGACAGAATTCTCCAAAACCTCCTTGCTTCTATGTTCAGTAAAAAGAGCTTGTAGGACTGTAATGATTTTAGGTAATTTATGTTGGATGTTTAAGGGGCTTCATGAGCCTCAGCAGTGCAGAAGTGTATGTTCCTCTATCAGTTATGACCTCCCTGGTTTCCTGCTCGTGAGTTTGGTTCTGTTGAGTTGGGTACCTCGAGGGGTGGGTGTGAGCATTCCCTAGTCTGACACAGGGATGGGGCTCTAGCTCTAGGAGAACCTTAGGTCTGCTTTAGAGCTTACAGCCCCTTCTTGGGATGCTCCTACCTCTCCTTTCCCACTCCTACCCCGCTCAGCTTTTAGCCCTTAAACAGAAAAGCTGACCCAGATTCCAGCTGGAAGTGTCTGCTGCGAGGCAGGAGGGATTTGGCGACAGCTGGTACCCAGGGAGCAGAACGGCTGGTACAGCTCGTCAGCACCGAAATCTCAGAAAGAGCTTGGGTTTCAAACCACAGATTCAGATAGCTGCTGGATGCTTTATGAGGTGCAGTACTGAATCCTGTACCCTGTTTTTTAAACCAACCTCAATTGTGTGTAACTTCTGCTCACTCAGGCAGCACTGCATTACAACTTTGCATTTCCAACTTTTGCACTTTGCAGGAATTTACTGGCTCACAGTTATTGTGTTATAAGCACTTTTACTGTGAATGTTTTCATTGAGAATACTTCTCTGAGAGTTAGCCTGCAGGCTTTCACTTCTACTGAAGATGCCTTTGACTTTACTCATACGGCATCAGCCTTCCTGAGAGGCCTGAGACAGATACCTATTGTTATTGTGTTCCATGCAATCACTTGGAGAAGCTGTCTAAAAAAGTAAGGCATTCACATATGCATTCAGAGATGTGATAGAAAGCGAAATACTCAGTGTGGTTTGTAATTGTGTTTATCTAAGTGCAGCCTTTTCCTGTGTCAGAACAGATTTTTGCAAACAAAAGGGCAATGATTCAGTTCCAGGGGAAGACTGACAAAATAAACCCCAGCTTCTGCTGACCTGATACAGTGCTGAGCAGTGTCCTACCCTGGGAAAATATTTCCTGCTTCATTTTCATAAATATTTATGTAATTCCTTCTGGGAAACATGTCTTCTTCAGAAAACTGAACATGCTGCTCCCTGACACAAATTTAACTGTTTGTTTACACATGAGAGATTATGGGCAT